GTGCCGCCATTTTGTCGTATCATAGATGTCATTTGTGCTTCGTTTATATTACGTTTCATGTCTCCGTAGTGTGTTTGTTAAATTATTGTATTGTTGTTAAAGTTACTGTTTATTGTTAATATTTTGTAATACATAATTAAAATTTAAGAGCATCAGAATCTCCTCGTTCTCCAATTCCGTTGAAAATAGAAGATTTAGCACACCTGCATTCAAACTTTACAAAAGAAGACTTGTTTTTGGCTAAAAAAAATGTACCACAGAGTTGGCTGTACGAACTAAGTCTCCTTTGCCTTTCCCTGTAAGGATAAACTAAAAAAATCCGACAATGACATTTCTTTGTTTACATTTTGGACATTTAATTATGATTCGCACTACACACCCTTTCTTCCCCGAAGTATCGAATATCACAGGCAACCCTTAAATCTTGGCTAAACAACAAAGTAGTTGATCCATAAACACATACCTGGAATGTTTTAAACAGATTTCTAATCTCTAAAGAAGCAATAAAATTATAATGTCCATCCCACCCAAGTTATCCGAAGCGCAGTCGCGTCCACAGTGTATGTTATTCAGCTATTCTCTCATTAATTTTAATAGCAGTAGAGATCCTTGTGAAAGAGTTCATCAGCCACCTTACCTGTTTCTGTCGCCAAACAGTATTGTGAGCAGAAACTGTTACGGGTAGACGTGTCGCTTATGACCAGGCGTACGACAGAATTTCTGTTTAAGTTCTTAATCGTTTACTTCTTACATATTTACAGATAAAAAGTATTCTTACCCAAATTCCGTTTTTATATCGTCTATTGCAGCACGTGACTTACAATTTTCGTGAAGGTAATTTTCAAAAGAAGTTAACGTGATCTCTGAATGATTTATTTGACATATATTTCGGCTGTTAATTAACAACCGGCCATCATATTTCTTCTTCCTCAGAATGCGGCATACTGCCCTTGGTCTCACGTGAAGTGTAATAAGTTGCTTGAACTCGGAACTCCGGCACATTCTTTAATGTTATCAAGTCACGCCTCTTTTCTTCCACCTATTTTCCTCCTTCTAGTAATGTTTTACGTCAAAAATAACCGTGGCGAACTGATTTTGTGATGTGTAATGGCATGTCCTAGACAAATAGTTTCTGCATTTGATAGCCAGATTTCCTCATTCGCAACCCTGTCAATCCAGCTAATCCCGAACACATGTCTGTAAGTCCACATTTCAAAAGTCTCTATGCATCTTCAAATATCTCCATTTATTACAGCTTATCAGATACTTATCAGCTTTGATCTTTCTTATGGATGACCTCAATTTGGTAGTGGTAAGTTCGTCTTTGTCAGCCATTACCATTTCACACCGGTCTTTAATAGTTTGCTGCTGGTCATATCGCTCCTAAAGGACTATAATTTAAACTTAGAATTCTGAATCACATTATGTACTCTCTTTTATACGTTACGGTTTGTGGAAAAAATATTCCATTGTATGTTCCGATTTCTAATGTAAATGTAATGTAGTTCATTGTCATTAATTGTAAATTACGTCCATAAGTGTAGTAAGTAACGTATGTGACATGTAGCTTTCTAGTCACCTCTTACACAATATCAAATAGAAATCACAAAATGTAAATTTTCACCTATAGTTATTCAACTGCAATAACAATTACTCTGTGTCTCAACCCACGTGTCAAACGGGATCATCGGACGGTCCTAAGTTATAATTAACAACTGTAATAATAGAAAGTCAACACTAGACCCCCATTCGTCCCCATTACCAGTGACCCCGGCCACCCGCCCCATAAAAACAGGCTCTCATTAAGGACCGCTTTCCTTTCCCATACATCTTACCCATACAGATTGTAGGGATGGACCACACACGTCTGTTTATGCTATTTAGTATTTGGCCTCGAGCTTTTTGAATGGATAACTATTTAAAACAATTATTTCGATTGTGAAAGCTAGTATTCTGTTAAAAATTAAACGGGAACTGTAAGATATTTGTGAGAGCGTTACTTAATGTCGTTTTGGAAAGATGTTGTTGCACCTTTGGTATAATAAAGCTACATCTGCAAATGTTTCAATTCGACTGTATTTTTTGTGTGTGTATGTTACGATTGCTCCGGCATTTGTAAACCGATGACGATGATTATTGGAAAGAGGGTACCTCAGTATTGGTCCCATTTAAATTGGAAGAAAATATTCCACCTCTAAGGATGGCAAGCTTGGGGTGAATCTGATTCCAATGAAACTTGGCAAATAGACGTAATTCCACAAACTTTTGAGGTGTGTTTTTTTTTATAAACAGTTATTACTTTTTGAAGTCGGTTAAAAATTACTCGGTCAAAACTTTTAGCAAGTACCGCCGAGTGAAAATGCAAATGGTTAATAATAATTATGAAATTATTACAATGTAAATCAATATGTGGATTAATACATTGTCATTACCGTTTCGCAAGACCTCGAAAAACATTTTTATTTGTTTATGATGGTAGAGAAGCAACGGAACGAACAAGTGGGGCGTCTGGTGGTTAACGACACGCCTATCTATAACAGTAGCAGTGCCACTTCTGAGAGCTCAGGCTTTAAATCGTAAAGATCTGCGCCCGTCTCTCTGAGACATAAGTTGATAAGTCCCATGTGCCTGTAATCTCACTCCATAACCCTTCAAAATCGGAAAGGTGCCAGCGAGAGCTCCTGTTACTAAAATAACCAATTTCATTTCATACTATCACAATGTATACCCAACTACTGGGCATGAATATCCTCTAAAGGCTATAAGGCTTCTAGTTCACCATCCCAACCCAATATAGATTGAATTCTTCATTAGTTTTTCGAGGAGTTTTAATTACCTCGTATATCCACCATCTTCGACATGGTTTCCGCACGTTCCCTTTCGCCATTAAAGTCCGTGATCGTTAATCACCTAATCTGTTCATGATTCGAAATGCCAGAGGTATATGTGCCGTAACTTACGACTTCCCTGACAGCTACCGTCATAATGTAATTTTCTATTTGAAATCTCACGTACACAAAACACCCGATTAGGCAAGGGCTTAGAAAGCCGGACTATGACTAATTGCGAAGGATTTCAATAAATTATAGCCTCAGTTGTAATTTTTAGTGGTCATAACAATAATTTACGATTAACCGTTGTTATGTTGTGACTGGTTATTGTGTGTGGTAGCTCGCGGGCGCTGTAACGAGATTGGAAAGTTTCCATTGAATATTTTACTTATTACATGATCTGTATCAAGAAATACTCTTTAACTATGTGGAAAACTAGATTAGTTTTAATTGCGCGTATTTTCTTACTTGTAAGGTACAATTTGATTACTGATTATGCTATTATTATTTTGGATATCAATTTTGGAATCGCCTGTCCCAAGGTACAAGTCCCTATCTACCGACTCGAGAGATAGGGACTTTCGGAAAGACTACCAAGACCAAGGTACGGCGAAGCCGCCAGTGATACGCCTTCACGGGCATCTCTGGCGTACCCGGACTTGAGTATGTGTGGTTAGCTGTAGGAATAGACACGTTCGTCTGCCCCAATAGCATGTGGCAGGGGTGTTCAATCCGCGCGCAGCTATCGCGTCTTAGTGGCAGTCTAGACGAGGCCCAAACGTGAGTTGCCCTTTAAGTTGGAAGCGAAGTCCGGACATTGTCGCAGGATACTGCGACCGACATTTCCGGTATTAGCCCAGAGAGCAAGTAGAGCATGAGCTAGATATTCTCTGACCCCTCCAACCACGTAGATTTCTGGAAACTGAAGAGATGCTTCGGTGTCGGGACGTGAGCGCGCTACAGCTCCGCTACCAAAAAGGAGATTTGGTAGTGGATGTTTTAGAGTCAACGACTTAGCGTTTGCAACCGTTAGTTGCGCAATGCGCAACGGGAAGTGAGAGTGCTAACAGCTGCGGTACCTATCTGGACAATATGGAGGACGCTATAGGTGCACCTGGGGGAGCTCACCCTTTTGAGAACCGAATGAAGTGTATGAAAACGGGCTGCGCTAGGGTCATAACCTGACTGAGAAGGCTCCTGTGCCGGCTTGCTTGCACATGCATTCACAGCTGGAATAAGCTTCCCCTTACCATGCCAACTCTCCTGCTCCTATACCGCCTGCGTTCAGCCGCTCTGCCAGCCACCTTTCAAGTCGTCCGTCAATCATGCCGCAAGGCGTCTTAGACCACGTTTGTCATATAGTATATCAATGTGACTAGAACCAATTAAGAAATATCTATCATCTTAAAACATTATTCATAGAGTTTATGCAACCGGCGTTATGAAGCGCTCTAACACGTTCCTTGCTAATGCGGAAGACAGGTCTAAAACAACTATTTACACGCTCATTGTATCAACAGTTTACAATCAATGAAAGTCGTCCGCGCAGTGGCATTGAAATGTAAATGATGATCTGAATCTGCGCAGTTGACAGGTGCGCGTGCGTATCGTGGCTCATTGTTAGCCAAATACGCTGTATACAGTACATTAATGGTTGTATATCTATATGGTATAGATCGTAAGTTCGTATTGAGGTGACACGTAAATTTCCCCAAATTCTATTGTCTGATAATTATAACTCATATGTTATTGTTTCAAAAGATATTTTCTATATCCAAATATATTACAGCTGTAGTGTGATACGAGTTCGCGATCGCCTAGGTGAGAGAAAAAATACTACTCTGATTATCCCTTTTTATGATTAAAAAGTGACAGGATGAACAAGTCGTGGGCCTGGTAAGCGACATGCCTGCCCATAACAGTCGCAGTGCCACTCAGAGCTTTAATCGCAAGGATGGAGCACACGTTGACAAGTCCTATATGCCTATAGTTTCACCAGCACCCTGCAAAACCGGAACGCAATAATGCCCACATTACTGTTTGGCGGCAGAAATAGGATGCAGAAATAGAAATACGAAATACTGCTGCCACTAAAACTGTAGAAAAGGGATGATATATGGTGTGATGATATGGATGACATAAAACATTGGTATCCTTATTTGTACACAGATGCCACGGCCGGTGTAGCGGCAGCGGCATGGGCCAGGCGGGCAGCCAGCTGGCCGCGGCAGTGCCGCGCTCGCGCCGTGCACTCACGCTGCCGCACGAGCCGCTCAGACACGCGCCCAAGGTAGTACTTTTAGCATAGATATATGTCAAATGCAGTGTTGTTATATAAATGCTTTTGATATTTAATTTTCTTGGGTAATCAATGCGTGTCAATCAGAATCAGTCAAAATTTAAGCTTTATTTTTTTAAACAACAGAGCACAGCGGTGTTTGACAATGATTTCGACTTCATTTACAGGTGCTGCCATCTCTGTCGGAGGCGCCGCATCTACGCAGCACCGACAACGGTGCCATCTTGCAATCGGGCGGGACCATTAGTGGTCGCAGACCTGCTTCCATCCTCGAGACTTCACGCACGCCGCATGGACATGTGGTAAGCCATAAATATCTGCTAAAGCGTTGCTCTGAGTCATTTAGATGTTAGTTTTATTAGAATTACCACTAAACAATAAACTGTTTGAATATTCCAGCACTCGAATGTATACCGGTCGCGATCAGCAGGGTCGGGCGCGCAGTCAAGCGAGCTGCGCGCCAGGGAGCGCGACCCGTTGCATCGCTCGCACACCAATCTAAACCTAAGGAGCAATGACGACGGTGAGCTCGCTTTTCAAGTCCATACCTTGCTGTTGAAATATAAGCTATTAAAGTTAAAGTCTAATTACTAATAAACTATTATGAATGCTTTGCAGGCAGCAGCATAAATAAGAGATTTGGCTCAGAGCCGGATCTAAGAGTAGAAGAAGAGCAGCAAAAATCGAGATGTAACAAACACTTCAGGAAGAAGTATCGAGCACCCCCACCGCCTGTACATAATAATGTAAGTTTCATGTACGGATGTCATATCTAAACATTGTATATATTAGAAAACACGACATTTAAAACTTTTCCGTTTATCTTTTTCAGCACCGCGAGGGTTCATCGCCAGATTCCAGCGACGGGAACGCGAGACCAGAACCCCAAAGGAAACTCAGACTATTCAAAACAAGAAACGAAACCAAAAAGATGAACGGTCACATTGAGCCCAAAGCACCGGCTTACAGAAGCTACACTGAATACAACAAGTCTTTAGATTTAACCGACAACCAGGCCTTCGAGAGACGATACAGATCGCCGTGCAAAGACAAAGAGCAGCATCTTAAGTATCCAGATAGCAAAGACATGGTGCAAACATCAGCCTCTCTCAAGAGAGAAGAACGCCTGCTTCAGGCGAGGCAAGACTTCAAAAAGTCAAGAACAGACAAAATCAGCGGGTGTAGAGCAAAGACAGCAAAAACAAATGAATCGACTGAGGCTTGGAAAACACCATTGCTTAATAGAAATTTCAGGTATTCAGACAGGTTTGTAAGAGAAGAGAGTCAACAGCCAGTACTCCGGAGAGAAAAGACTTTCGACAACACTCTGCTTTCGAACGAAAAAGAAAGCGAGTCCCCCAAAGCCATACACGAGAATAGAATGAAGGCAGTAGGACAACAACTGAAGGATAATCGGCTCAGCCCGCTAGCGGAGAGCAACAAGCCTTTGAGAAAATCTCTTCCTTCACTATTAGTCAAGGATAATGAAGAAAAAGATGAATTTCAAGCAGAACTCAAAAAGGCGACAAATAGAATAAGGAGTGAATTAGGAAGTAAAATTAATAATATTAGTGAAAACAAAACTAGTCAGAATGATAAAACGAGCGCACAGAAACCAAACCCATCGAAAACTACAGCACAGAGTAAAGTCAAAGAGTCTAGTCTAAAACCGAATAAAGTGAGTAGCAAGATCGACACTAAACCTGCCTACAGTAGAATTAGCCGGCCATTGAATAGGGTAACAGAAAAACCTAAAATCACAGCTCTACAGAACATCAATAAAGTAAGCAACAATATTCCGACAAGTAAATATAAATTCAACAGCAAAGAAAGGGCAAAGTCAATGCCTGATAGAGGACAAGCTTCTGGCAAGGAGTCGACTCCTGAACACTCACCGACTAGAAAAATTGAACCACCGAAAAATCATCATTTGCCAGATAAGTAAGTAGTAAAATGTTAATGTCACACGGTTGTATTTTATACATAGTAATTTAAAATATATTATTAGTGCTCCTTCCCCTAGAATAAACCCGCAGCATACCACGGTTACCACGCTCAAACCACTAACGCAGATGCTTTTTACATTCCAGACAAAAACCTCCCTCAAAGCAATTCTACTTCGGCATGATTGAAAGCAGACCATCAGATTCGAGGGATCACTTAAAAGATTTCCCAGGATTAGGTAGCCCTATCATTGAGGAGATCAGCAATTTCCATTTGATCGAGAAGAAACTGCTCGGGTATCATGACGAAGACGCAGAATTTGAGAAGTTCAACGCAAAGTTGAAAGAAGAATGTAAAGTTAAGAACTGTAAGTATCAGATTTGTGCAAAGTGCTTTATGCGACCAACCTATTTATTACAGATTCAAAAATAAATTGATAATTTTTCTCTTTCACCTTTTCTGTTTGTAGTCTCTGTTGCCGTTTGGTAAGGTTTAGTCTATTAGGTCTACTTTCCACTGGCGATTTCACTCAAAACACTCCTTTAACTTAGAAAAAAAGTAAAGAGCCATGCCTCACTATCTTAAGCTCAGTGATACTGTTCTATATAGCCTCGTCCAGGAATCTGACAAGAGTTAATAACATTCGTATCTACCTATTGTATTCATTCAATCAAATCTCAATTACACTCTTTTCATTCCAAGTATCATCGGAATCAGCGCTCTCATCGGAAGGCTCAGAAGGTGAAGGATCGGAAGGATCGCTGGGTATAGCGCTGCGCCTGAGACCAACTATACCGAAGAAGACCCCCGCCGTGCCAAGGTTCTCGCCAGCCGCCGCGTGGAGACAGCTTGCCAGTCTTGATGCTCATCTTGCCTCAGGTGGTTGCTGAACAATTTTTAAATCCTTCAAGTTATTATAGATCCAAGATTCATTTTATCTGCTCCATTATTTATTACTAATCAATTCTATTATCGTTATAGAAACGCAGCCATTAGCAGTAGAAACAAAAGTATCAGCGGACATAACGCCGGAGTCTTCGCCGCGATCAGAACAGTCGGCTGACAAATCCGGAGACTCAGGCATATCGGGCGATCACGCACACAGCGATCACAGGATAGACTCGCCTGGACATGTACGTTTAGAAATCTTTGATCGTTTCTTCAAGTATAGAAATCTATGACATCGAAAAACACTGACTCAAGAATTTGGCAACAAACCAATACTCTTCATCATCATCGTCGACTCATTCTATGTCCCACTGTCGGGCACGAGTGTCCTCTTAAGAATAGGTTTAAGCCATAACCTGCCACGCTGGTCTTTAAAATACCGAAAATATAATAAAATTTGTTATCGTGAGTCACTAAGCTTTCTTTATCAGACAATTTTGGTAGAAAAAGGATAATTAGGAAAAAATTAAAAGCGAAATCAACTATTGTGTTTGTCACAGGTGCCTGAATCAACAAACAACGTGTGGACTCCTCAACAAGACCTCGGTGATAGCAGTTCAGATGGCGCTGGTGGAGGTATCACTTTACACCCACAAGGCACTGTGGCCACTTACAGCCCTGGCGCTCAGCCCTTCAGTCTCTCGTTGCCAAGAGAAAATCAGGACAAGGTGAGACTGGCGATTATATTAGTGCACGGGATGTTAGGGACCTTCAGTTTCTGGGGAACTTAAGATGAAACATATTGATTTGCGCAGTAAATTTAGATGCATTTAACAAACTGTGTCACATTATCATCTTAATTCTCTGAAAACTGATGAAAGGTTTGCTTCTAGTAAGTACAGATAACAATTAATAATACTAACCGATAATCCATAGGTCCCGCCTAACCTCTCGTGTACATCAGCTGAGGAGGAGTAAAGACTGTAATTTCACTCACACTTACTAACTATATTTGCAGCACTACCATTTAGATGATAAGCTTTTTTGTAGATCACCTGCTGTATCTTCTGTTTGCTTAGTACATTATGTAATTTGCTTATCTCCTTCCATTTCTTGCTTTCAATTTTCTCAAGTTCATTTTTCATATCACCGTACAATCCAATCTTAATTTCATCTCCATTATAATCTTTATTCCTCATCAGCCCATCCTCATTTAGAGCAGCCGCAATCCCTCATAGTTTAAAGGCATGTCGTGCTTCTACGAATGCTTCCAGGGCAAACAGTTGCAGCAGGGATTCAACAGTCTTCAGAAGCTGCGCAAATCGGTATCTGGAGCACTCGGTGCAGCGTTAGGTTCTAGAAGATTCGACCTAGAACATGAGCCGATGTTACCGGAGCCTGAACAGAACTGGTTCTTGACGAAGTCGGCTCCGAACTCTTTGAGCAACCCGTTACTATTTCAACCGCCGTCAAGAGCAAAATTGAGCAATGAAGACGATATTAAAGAAGAATCATTACCGCCTACTGATAAGGTAAGCTATCAAGTTGAAGGAAATTTGTTTTCGGTAGCAATTTTCGTTCAACCTGTGAAACCCACAGTTTGGCACAGGTCTCCTTTGAGCAGAGGATTTTGGCCTTAGGTCACCTCGCTAACCCAATGCGGGTTGGGGATTTTACGCTTTTTCCAAAGATCGTGAATAGGGCTTTCATCCCGGGAATCTCAGCCTCAGAAATTTCGTAAGTCTCTACAATTTTTTGGCGTTTTCGGGACTCAAGGACGTTTGCTGCCTCGGGAATATCGAGACTTTTGAAACTTAAGTCGTTTAATTCAAAATCTACTAAACCGTCAATTATTTTTTATTTTGGCTACATGGACGTGGCCCTTGGTCCTCTACATCTGAGAATGTACTAAACGTCCTCTGTTTCTTAAATACTCATTATAAAAATTTAATAATAACTTTCATGTATCATTTTTCATTTTATAATTTTTGTTGATAAAGAACTTAATTAAAATATCATGTTTTGACTACCTAAACGCCTATAGTCCATAAGTATGGAAGTCTAGTTTTTTCCGGAATTTTCGAGACCGCGCTAAGCCTCGATTGTTTTTCCCGGGACACGAAAATGCTGTGAGAATGAAAGCCCTAGTTGTGAAGCTTCTTCGAAAGATTTCGTCACGATGTTTTCAATCGATATTTCACTATCTGCGAGAGGATTGCTACTGAACATTACAAATGTTATATGCCAGCATATGACTAGATAGATTCTAACTTTCGACCTTTCAATTGAGAAGCAACCGTTATTCTACTATACTAACACCATTTTTATTTCATTAGTGTAAGCGTTTAACCAAACATATAATATGCTAAATATACATTTCATAGGAGGACACAAGTCCCTGGAGGCCGAGTAATTCATACCTCTCATGGGGAGGGCACGTCATGTATCTGCCTCCCGCTCCGACTGCTCCTGACCAACCCCTGTCCATGCTCGGGCCAATAGACAGACCTGTAAGGTGAGTTGATATTTGTTATGTTGGTACTCCTAGCTTAAATCCAAACATGTATTATGTAAGATATAAGATAGAATCATTTAAAGGAGCAGTTCCTAGTATTGTTTTACAAACACAGAGTGTGACAGGAAGGTGTAGTCATATTAAAGTGACCTGATCTAAAAATTGTACGGATGCCAGAGGAAAACTAATCTTGTCTACTACGAGCTCTACTGACTGCATCTGAGAGACATGTGAAGGCTTTAGAAGAACATCTTACTGTTATATATGACTAAATACACGTTCACATTAAAACGTGAGTTACAAGAAAAGGACTTAATTCTCAGTCAATACAAACTTGAGAAGATGCCAATGCCATTAATTTTTGAGCATATAGGACTGAAGGCGTCATCGATAGGCAGTCCCCTCTGTCAAGATACAAGCAAAAAATCCATCGCTCAATAAACGCTACTATTATTGAATTCACCGCGTCAAGTGCTCCACGAAATGTCTTGCGCTGCGTCATACAAAATTGCAAAATCCGCCACATCTACTACGCCAAGGGTGGAATTACATTTCATATACGTGATTAATCAGTATTTAATACATATCGACACCATCACATCGATAACTTTCCGTCTCTAGCATATTCATGAGAATCGATTTTTTAAAGGCCTATTCTGCGTACAGACATGACATAAATGTGTGTTTTATCTGTGTATTAATCAAATCAAATCAAATCAAAATAATCTTTATTTCATAGGTAAGCATTATTACACTTGAAATCGTCACAATGGTTAAACTCTACCGCTCATTCGTAAGGCAGATTCCCCTGAGAAGAATGAGCAAGAAACTCTAGGGGTTGCTCTTTGTAAATAACATTTACAATATTTTTTTTATTTGAAACATCAGATTGAGACTACCTCCATGAGCTAAACGGGTTACTACCACGGATTTTTGTCATCCAAGTACGCAGAAGTTTTATAATAACCTTTAGTATAAAGTTTTTGTTTCACTATAGTTTTAAACCTCGTGAAAGGCAAATTTTGTATATCAACCGGAATCTTGTTATAGAAGCGTATACATTGCCCCTTAAATGATTGTTTGACTTTGTGAAGACGACTATCAAGAAAAGCTAGTTTATTTTTATTCCTCGTATTAATGTTATGTCTGTCACTATTTTTCATAAAGAAATTACTATTCCTTTTAACATAAATTATATTTTCATAAATGTACTGTGAGGCTAGTGTAAGAATGTTAATTTCCTTAAACTTATCTCTCAAAGATACTTTGGGGCCCAGATTGTAAATTGCCCTAACTGCACGTTTCTGCAGGACAAAGATTCTATTGATATCGGCGGCATTACCCCAAAGCAAAATGCCGTATGTCATTAGACTGTGAAAGTAGCTGAAGTAAACCAATCTAGCGGTTTCGACGTCTGAAAGTTTCCTTATTTTTTTAATCGCGTACACTACAGAGCTGAGCCGTTTTGACAACTTACTTATATGGGGACCCCATTGCAATTTAGCATCTAACGTTATACCTAGAAATACAACTGTATCCACAAGATTCAATTTTTCGTTTCTAACTACAATGTTTGTAACCGTCTCTCTAACATTGGGTAATGTAAATTTCACACAATTTGTTTTTTTCTCATTAAGAAGTAGGTTATTAACAGCAAACCAATCAACTACTTTAGATATAGCATTGTTCACATCGTCATAGGAACATTGGTGCCTTTTAACTTTAAATAATAAGGAAGTATCATCAGCAAACAATACTATCTCATGTTTTATACCCTCCATAAGGCTAGGTAAATCATTAATATAAACTAAAAACAAAAATGGGCCTAGAATTGAACCTTGAGGGACACCCATGCTAATTACAGACCCTGACGATCTCGTACCGTTAACATCGACCCTCTGTACCCTACCACGCAAATACGATTTAAGAAGGTCGAGATCACGTCCCGCCACACCATAATGGCGAAGTTTCCTGACCAGTGTATCATGGTGCACACAATCAAAAGCCTTGGAAAGGTCACAGAATACACCAATAGCATCATGTGAGACTTCCCATGCATCAAATATATGATTAATCAACTCTACACCAGCGTCGGTTGTAGAGCGACCCCGAGTGAAACCAAATTGTTTAGGAGACATTAAATTATTACTATAAAAATGTGCACACATCTGATTTAGAATAATTTTTTCAAATATTTTACTGAGAATTGGTAGTATTGATATAGGTCTGAAATTGGTGGGGTCAGAAATACTACCAGATTTGAAAAGTGGAATAACTTTACTTTGCTTATATTTTTATATTGCTTATATATTTACTTTGCTTTTATTTGTAAAAATAGGCTAGTGTTGTCGATTTTTGTTTGTGTGAGACCATAGTGACACTACTCAATATTGCATTTGAGTGCACCTGCTTGCTTGTAGTATTACGTATTACCCCCCGCCCCTCTAAAAGTGGCAGAAAGTTTTGTACGAGGCTAACAGCGCCTCCCATCCTATATACTCTAAGCATTTAGCAGTGCGTGACGGAACTAATTTTATCTTAGTAGCGCAAAGTGTTTTTGTTACAGTTGCTTAAAATGTAATACAATTTTTAAATGAGTGAATTTCTGCATCATCAACAAACATTTGCATCACAGCTTTATGCTTGCGGTCAGAGATAAAATCTAGCAGGGACGAATCAACGTTGTAGCAAGAACAATCCCCGAATTAAGAAATGCCGCCATTACCAAGACCTTTTTCAACATAACAATTTTATTTAGCGTATTTAGACATTATATCTATGCATATTTGTACATAAACTCATATACACACGCCTCTGAATTGCCGTTTATAGTCGTCACAGTGTAAGAGTCCCAATTTAACAGGTAAGGAAGACGATAGTATGTAGGTAACTTTGAATTCAATCAACGAATCAGTAAACAAACAATTTTTAACTTATTGGGTTTAAAAATATATATGATAGAACATATTTTAAGTAGTATTTTAGCAATCAAAATTTTGAGCCAGTCCGAAACGACTTAAAAACAGTTACAGCCTGAATCTGCATTTTTTAAAATAATAGATGGTGACGCTATAACAAGAAAAAAATTTATAAACCTTCGATGGCTCATGGGGAGCTCCGAGATAGGAAGAAAAGCCGTGCTACCACCAACCTTTGAATCTAGACTCGGTTCACCTCGTTACATGCGGCCGACCACCAACAACGCCACCATGAGAATCTTTCGTACACATCTCAATGCCGGGCGAGGAATGCGGATAATTAATAAAAAAATTGAGATAGTGCAGATGCGGATTTTTCCAGTTCAAATGTTGTAACGTCACACTATTTTCAAAGTCATTGGCGGTTGATGCGGCTTTGACGTAGCACGAATTGAGATGGGAATGGAAAAGGAGATGCAAGCTCAGACAAACTATCTGGCGTTACCAATAGTGTTGTAACCAATTAATTGAAATTTTAGCTGTACACTACACAGCCTTTTTAGCTGTAGATATTTATTGTTTAATCTGCTTTGATTTATCTGTTCCATGTGCCCAAACTGTCACTATATCCTCTTTCAAACCACATCGTTCAAGGATCGCACTATTCTTGCCTCCATCTACACATTTATTTTTAAATGAAACTTCTAATCTTATCGTATTGTCTCGCAGAAGCAAATCCAGCGGCTGTCTAGAAGTGGCGGCTCGGGCGGCGCGTGCGGCCCTCGCTAACGAGATGCGTGAACGGGAGCGGTCAGCTTCGCCTGATGTTGCACGCGCGCTACCGGCCCGAGTGGAACCCGTTACCAATGTAAGTACCATTAAAAGTATACGATCATGATGTACGGACAACGGCACATCAGCCTACACATTTTTGTTCGAAAATCGCCTCCATTGCAACGGAACAAGATACGTCAATGTGTAGCTTGATGTGCTGGCGTGTGTACATGTTTGAAATAGAGTTGGTGGACTGATCAATTATAACTTCAATGCATTAGGATTGCCGAACGTGGGTTTGGTAAATAAAGATTACTTTAGTAAGTTCTCGACATGTGCACCGCGTCGTCGCTGATAAACTTGACAGGCGTGACGACAATTTGTTTTGTTTTAATAAACTTACTAAGTTTACTAAGTTTAGTAACAGCAGGAATATAATTTAAAAATAATTGATAAAAATAAAACTTTTAAAAATTAAATATTAAAAACAAGTAATCATTAATAAATAACTAAATTGCATTCAAAATATAAAATAATGTGTTTTGGGAATTAGGAATCAGGTTCGTCTTCTCAATCAGAAACCCATCTGATTTCGAGAGATTTGAATCAAAATCAGGACGCAGGAGCTCAGAGATGGCAACACCTTGAAAACGAGTGTGCAAGTCATTTGACCACGGAGGTCATCGAATATTTCGTCTTATTTGTATTCCCCTATTTCCTGAAAGCTACAATTTTGGGCTATTAAAGGCTGGGGTGAGTTGGCATGTAAATAGTAGACAAAAGCGTAATATCAGAGGAAGTTATAGCCAAGCGTTCGTCTCTATTACATAAAAAATAGAGGATAAATTAAATAAATAAAATGTTTCCCTATTAATTTATTTATATTTTAAAAATGGACTGATCGCTTACAAAGTAGCACGTATCGCATACTGTTCCTCATAGACCAAAATTAGACAAGGCCTATAATTTACCCCGAAATCCCATCGGTTGTTCCCTCCACCGGCTTGTAGAACCAATGTCATTGAACATGCTGTTTCTCGTGTTCGCTGCACTCGTAACAATTTGTTATGCTGCTATACCTGACCTCGTTATACATTTTGATTCCCTTGCAAAGTACAAGGCCGTTATTGTGAAATTCATATTTGGAATCTCATTGGAGTCATTTGTTTTTTGTTTGTTTTTTAATTTCATTGGGTTTAGTATTTATGTTCTCAATTAGCAGTGAATTAACTTAGTCTCGAATACTTTTCAGTGACTAACGTTGTTTTCTTAATTTGCTTGCGTATCAACTTGACTCGTCATGAGTTACTTAAATATTTATATGCACATGCTGTTGGTGTTCCTAATAGTGTTGTTTTTTTTTTTAAATTTTGGGTAGATGCCTACTAGCCCTAAGTAGGGCTCTACTTAAAGGAAGATAAATATGACTCAATTGTATAGGTAATAAAACTAAATAAAGAATTATGTGATAACATGACACTCGAAAATTCAAACTGACAACCCTAAACACTAAGCGGAATTTCGCTTCTCTACCGAAACGCAGCAGTCTTTCTTTTTTTTTCTTATTTTAATTTTGCGATTGCATATTTTTTCCATAGAGAACATACTAACCTTTGTCATCAATTATATCAGGTTATAGATCGAAATTTGGAAATTCGGACCTCATCATGCCCTCTACAATTGTATTTGTTATACTAGTTACAAATTTCATGCATATCCGTTGAGAAACTTTATTTTTAATTATGCGATTTTAGTAAACGCCAAGAAAACTTTGCCCGTTGCGCTTTGATAATATTCTAAAGTATTCTTACTCTGAACTATTTATCCCACGACAAAAAGATAGGAGATCCAAGTGCTCTTGACAGCGACACGCCCATCTATAAAGCTCAGGCCACACAGACGCGGTACGGCGAGACAAGCGGTCCGGGGGCGGACTTGCGGGAAGCGAATGTGTACCGGGGCCTTGTCACACAGCAGTCCACGATGCGAAGGCCGCCGATGGTACACTCAAAAGCAATCACGTTTCATTTTTACTTCGATTTCAAAGAATAGACTATATCGCTGTCGGATAATATTCAAGAAAAATATCGTTCTTTTATTCGCGTTATGGAAGTAACGGGAAAGAGATTTTGGTCGAATTCATACTCAAACTTAATAAAAATACGCTCAATAGTTGTAAAAAACACAACGTGCAATCCCGCGGAAGTCCCGCTCCTGGACCGCGCCCCGCCGTTGCCGCTTTGTGTTGTTCAGTTGCATGGCACTCGATAGTAATAATAAATATCTTTATTTATCTCCACAATAGAAAACAAAGGAACATTACGTAGAGAAATATATTGATAATGCGTGTGTAATATATGTGTAATGGGGGAGACAGCTTTGCGCCCGCATCCGCCCCGCGTTCGCCCCGGACATCTATTTGTCATAGTGTTCGGACCAGGCGCGCGCCGCCCCGCCACGCGGTTTCAATGTTAGCAAGGCGCATAAGAATTCGAATATTGCAAAAATTCTCGGTTCCGAAACGCTCCCGCTACCGCCTCAGAGCATTACAGTTGCCTTGCCACTCAAAACATTACATCGCAAAGATCTGGGGGCACTGACACTACGCGCGCCACCCTAAGACATGAAGTTTACAAGTCCAATGTCCTTATAGTTACTTAAATTATAAGCGTTAATTTGATAATAAGTGAACTTATCAAAAACTTTTATCTCGATAAAGAGTTACTTAATTCTTTCTAGTAACTTCTGTACCTCAATTTAGTAATCACGCACTTAAACCGACAATTGCGCAACCCAGTTCATCTGTCTGTTCGTTTCGCATCTAATGTGAAATCTGTCTTTGTGCAGTCCCAGGACGATCACTCACGACATTAATGCTTATCTCACGTCCGTTGATAAGTATAACCTCGCTCTTTGCTATATTGTCAGCGGGGGATTGGGCTTAAGGCTGGAAGCTTAACTACATGAGAACAATGGTTACACAGAGTAACAGCAAACTATAAAATTTTTAATTTTTCAATGACGTTTTCCATTTTCATATTACATACGCTTTGCCATAATTTCTCCTAATGTTAAGCGATGATGTCACCGATGGTTGAATACCATTCTTCACTTTAGACTCAAATAGCCGCAAATTGTAGATTTCAAAAACAAGACCCGGTAGTGTATTCCATAAGCATTATAAAGAAGGCAGCTGAGCGCTTCATGCGGTTTTGTGTTATCCATGACATAAGAGTACTATTCAGGAGTTTCTGGAAGATCGAGTAACGTTGGAACTAAAATCCATGTGAAGCTGTAGTTTTGGAAGTTTCATCCAAAACATTCCTTGTGATTGGAGTTTCCAAAGTGTTCTCTAGCATACGAATTGCTTTTCCTAAGAATTTCGTAGCAATAGAGCTCCTTGTGAAAGAGCTTGTCCATAGAAAAACTGCCACCACATCTATTTCTGCCGCTAAGGTATAATGTGAGCATTATTGCGTTCCAATTTTGAAGGGTGCTGGTGAAATTACAGGCACATGGAACTTGTGTCAACTACAACTTATGTCTCAGGGTGACGGGCGCAGTGGCATTGCAACTGCTATGGACAGGCGTATCTGTTACCGCCAGACGCACGACTTGTTCATCTCATAGCTTGGTATCATAAAAAAAAATACAAGTGAAGTCAAAGAACTCGAACGAAATTTTAAGTTTTCTGAACTTCTTTTATTTGGCTCATTCTTTCGTCTTCTTTTTTCAAACATCATCGATTCTGTTAGAATCGATTGCCTATTTATAACTATGTTATTTATATCTACATGAAATCTGATACATAAAATATTTAATAACGTTCGACATCTCGAAGTAGAGAACAACTAAGTCCGCCACTGTACTTTTAGATTAAGTAACCAATCACTATAACGATAGACACAAATGTGTGTTACCTCTAGTTTGTAACGTTAATAGTGGCAGTAATTGAATCACCGAAGGTTAGTACAGTGTTCCTTCTACGGAGATGGATTATATTTTGCTGAGTTATGACCCCTTGACAGTTGCGGTCAATCTTTATTGTTTTGTCTTGACGGTCAAGTTTGTTTATCGTAAGGTTATTTTTTGTCGGTCATTTATCACTTTTAATGCTTTGTAGTGTGTTTGTTCTCGTTTATACTACCTACCTTACTTATGCTATCGTCGTAATTGCAATTTGTTTAATTACTACGTTAGACAATTGTAGCAATGATGATTATAAAAAAGTCTCCTTATGTTACGCTCTTCTGTCGCTCGTTTAGTTTGAACCAATTCCCATTTCTCATTTCATCGCCTTCGTTCTCGTCAACATCTATTTTGAAATCTTCAATGCATCATAAAGCATTTTTTTGTTGTCAATGTTCAATGGTAAAACCGCAAAGTTTTTTGTCACCGCACAAATGTGTTACACTAACTTTGATTTCCTCGTGGCGACATGTGGCATTCCCACGCTCAAGATGCACAATGGATGCTAAACAAATCTGACTTCAATAGAGCTGTCTCATTGAGCTGCTACTAAATATTTGGGTAACAGCTATCTTTACCGGTCACAAGTCATATGATTTTATGAATCTTATGAAAATCAGTATTGCTATTAAGTAACAGTAGAGCTATTTTAAAAGATTTCGTTCAGATAACCACTGCCACCTTACTAATTTCTGCCAAGCACTAATGTTAGCATTACTGCGCTCAATTTTGATATGTAAGTTTGAAGTGTAAGACAATTATTTCAGGTACGTGTATCTTGTTCGACGTGTTCGTCCTATCAATTCGTATCGTTAAAACAAGTATTGGTATTTCAAAATATTATCCTGTTCTCCTATAATCTGCATAGAATCGTCTCTTATTCCAAGGTTTATTTACAAAGTACTAGTTTGAAGTAAAAACTTATTTCTACTTATTTACATTCTCATATGTCATCTGTTTAAGATTGTTACTCGAAAATGTTACCTGTTATTATGATTATTAATTTCAACACTAGTAATTTAGCTTCCGCAACTTTTTGTCGTGGGATTAAACATTTTCGGAGTAGGAACATTAAGATTAATATCTTCATCAGCAAATGTAAAGAGAATAGAATATGATATTCGA